ATAATATGTCTAATCAGGTTAAACTGCATTTTTCTTTCCTTTTTAAAAAGGGACACCCTTTTCAGAATGGCGATAATTCATTGTCAAATCAACACACCTATTGTCAATCTCACATTCTTCTTCCTGAAAACATACGTTCATTTTTTATGGAGAAAACTGCACATTATAAATATATATGCTTCTGCTTAACTGTTTAGTTTTGCATCTTTGGTTAGGAATGTTAGGCAAACAAAAACATCTTAAGTGAAACTGAATTAACACTCAAGTAGATTTTCAGCATGTACAGGGCAAAAGGGTCCCACTGTTATTTGAATGGAATCATTATTACACAGACATTATTTTCTGTTTTTTTATTTGAAAATCACGGGGTATGTGGACGTGAAAAAGTAGAGCTATTTTGGGAAAAAAAGGGGCATTAGAATCATTGGTTAGAAAAGTTTGACAAAAAGCGACCACTATTTTAAATATTTTTTTGGGGGGGGGGGGGCGGTGGGGGTGGGGGAGGGGAATTGTGAGATTTATCCCCAAAGGTGTATTGATTTGATGGTTGCTACAGCTCTAGACTGATTTAGGTACCAAGAAAGGACATTGGGTCCTGCTTTCTTGTTTGGTTTCTGACAAAGTCCTTCACATTCTTCCATGACCTGTGTGAGAATGTGCCAGTCTCAGCTTGGAACAGTTTGATGATAGCAGCTTTGCCGGGAACTGTACGGCCACGGAGGTATCCACCTAGATGCCTTGCAACAGCTTTCTTTTCTTTACTACTCCAAGCTCTCTTAATTGTAGGTTGTTTGCCTGCACGATAAACCAAAAGACATACACCTATGTAGTTTTTTGTGGGGTGGTGGATGGGAGAGGGAAAACGCTAGCCAGTCATCCGAATCACTGCAATATCTTTCAACCAGTTCGCAACATGTTTTAATTAATTTACCGAACACAGGTGCAATATTATTTTCCACTAACATCGACCCAGTGGCTCCAACCCCAGCCAAATGTGGACATCACGCACAAATGCCAGCTGCGAGCTGGTCGCTGACAGATTATTCTGGTCTTGCTCAGAGTTGTCTGTTGTGTGTTTATAATCAGTCATCGGTTTTGAATTTTGGAGAGAAAAAACTTGCGTGTACCATATCATAACCCCTTACCCCCCCCCCCAAACCAAATATCAAAACAAAACATACAATGAACTTCCTCCAGTAAAGGTTCATGTACCGTAAACAATTGCGACACCAACTTGTATTTTCAGTCCTTTATGAGCCACATTCACCATGTGGTCTTTGTTAAAACTGCAGCACAGATTAACAAGTGGATTAGCGTTTAGAGGGTATTAAATATTGATTCAGTTCTTCTAGATTTGGCAAGATTCCCAATTCAAAACGTGATTTCAAAAATTACTTGGTTTGTAATAAAAACTTAAAAAATAATTCTTTTTCACTCGACCGTACTACCCACAAATGTGTGAGCCGTTTTCACAGTATAGGTTCCAACACATCTTGCAAATCTGTCCCATTGAAATGTACACCTTTTTGTTTGTATTGACAAAATATACTTGTGATAACTGCATATTGGCCGTGTCTGATAGCACTGATGCGTACCTTTCCCGTGTCTGTCCCCATTAGCTGGTGGTTTGACCTGATTGACCTCTGCCTCGGCATCAGACTCAGCATCAGACCCAGACTCAGCATCAGACCCAGACTCAGCATCAGACTCAGCATCTGTATTGTAGTCTGAGAGAATGATATAAAACACGTCTCTTTTATTTCACTTGATATTGTCAACGTGATGAGGTTAAAAAAAAAAATTGAAAATGTTTTTGTAAATCACACTTCCCAAAAATGGGCATTGATACATGGATATTATTTTGAATGTTGACAATAGCAATTTTCTTTGTGTACCTTCATTTGGATTGAGCTCAACCTCTTGTAGAGTTTTTCCGGCGAGACCCCTGATGTCCCCTTTCTCCATTTTCAGAAGAACCTTGGATACTTTTGCAACTTGAATGGTAGATTGAGGGAGACGATAGTACTGTCGGTGAGTCCTGATATCGTGTCCAAGAAAATTAGCCAGGACATCCAGTTCGTTTTCTTTCAAGTTCATGATCTGCGAGACTGTTGCGATATGTTTCCTTAACCTGGTCGCTCGTAGATTTGCAGGTTGTTTGGCTCCGCACTTATTGGCATGCTCACGAACAGTATCTGTCCCTCTAATGTGGCCTTCTCCATATCTAGCTGAGAAGAGATAGTCGTTGCCATCATTAATTGCAGCTGCAGCTCTCTTACTTAGGAGAAGATCCAAGGCATGCTTCATGTCAGAGGTGAGAAGTACAACGACAGTCCTGGACCGCTTTCCTATCAACTCTACCCTCCAAAGCACTCTGCACAGGGCTTTCTCCCAGGCTGTCAGGGCACCTTCAATGATTGTGTCTTCTCCATTCATGCACTTACTGTAGTCTTGAATTGTCATTCTTGAGACTTCCCCGGGTCTCTTTCGGTTGAAGAGAATGATTTGGGAGAGAAGAATTTCTGCCAGCCTTGACCATGCTGTTTGGACTTCTCTTGAGCCATCTGCACTTTGCAACACCTGTTCCCTGACTCTAACCTCATCCTTCAGATATTGCGATAGCTTCACCACATCTTCAGTCAACGGTAACAGCTTTGGATTGTTTCGCTGCGCCTCATTCAAACTACGTAATGCATGATGGCTGACTTTTTCTTCCCATTGTGTGGAGTAAAGTGATAGGAATCCTTTACAACGCTTCTCAGTCGACTCATCCCCAGACATAAGAGCCTCACCACGCAGAATTTCTGCACAAGTCTTCATGCTGTGTCCAATCTTCAGTGCAAGACTGGGTGTGCTGTACAGATGAGTTTCGTCATTGAAGCCAGCTGCAACTCGTGTTGCACGAGTCACTGCAACAAATTTTGTAGGACATATCAGTGTAGACAATCCAACATTTGTTTGGCCCGTCAAGAATCGAAATTCCAACACCATTCGTGCAATCTCCCTTAATCTTTGCCTGATGTATCCAGCCTGGTCTTTGCTGTGGCCATGCTTCATTACCAACTTGTCAGCAAACCTTTTGATAAGCTCATCAGACTTGACCAAGCGGGAAATGTTGTCGGCATTCATACTTGACAAGATTTCATTAGTCCTAGCACTAACCCCGGGTGTTGATGGCAAAAGCATTCTCCCTGGCTTGCAGAACATAGTTCTTCTCTTTTTTACACAAGGCTCACCAGAGCAATCAACATCAGGTTTTTGGCTGCATCTGTGCTTCCATAAATCTGACTTGGCATAGTAGCCGTAACAGTCCTGACAAGGAAGATAATCATTATGGTCCGTGTCATATCCAGGACGATACACAACAATAAGAGTGCCTTTCCCCTTTTTCAAAACAGTTGAGTTATGAAGAAAATTGCCGTAGTTTCTCATCAGTGTGAGTTGTTTCTTCTTTTCCTTCACATCTGTTGTGGCCAGCCAAGTTTTAACTTGGGTTTCATCTTTATGCATCGGTGTAGTCAAATGGCGTGGTAGTTTCTTCTGTTGCTGAAGACAAAATGGGCAGTACTGTGGTTTGTCCCAGTGGCGCTTCCCTTCAGAGTTTGAAGTTGTCATGACTTCAATTTCACTTGTGCTGGAGACAGTCTCATCAGAAGAAACTGGATGATTGGAAGACTCCCTTGATGGAATCGGTATTACCGGGCTTGGTGACCTCAAAGATATTTCATCTGATGATTCTGGAACAATGTCTTCATCTGACGAATTTGAATCTGGAATGAAATCTGGGTCGTTTTCATCTGAGGAATATTCATCAGGTGAGTCAAGATTATCCTCTACAGGATATGATGGAGCATGCCTCTGAACAATTATGTGTGATTTCTGTGACTCATCAAGAGAGGACTTCAAAGGTGTTTGGTCTGCCGACTGGACATCTTTCTCAAGACTTTGAGGGCCATCAACTATGTGTAATTGCTGTGGCTCACCAAGAGAGGAATTGGAAGACATTTGGTCTGCTGCCTGGACATCTTTCTCGAGACAATGAGGGCCATGAACTATGTGTGATTGCTGTGGCTCACCAACAGAGGAATTGGAATGCATTTGGTCTGCTGACTGGACATCTTTCTCAAGACATAGAGGGTCACCAACTATGTGTGATTGCTGTGGCTCATCAAGAGAGGAATTGGAAAGCATTTGGTCTGCTGATGACTTGAAACCTTTCTCAAGACATTGAGGGCCACCCATGTTAACTATGTGTGATTGCTGTGGCTCATCAAGAGAGGAATTGGAAAGCATTTGGTCTGCTGACTGGACATCTCTCTCAAGACGATGACGACCCCCGACTATGTGTGATTTCTGTTGCTCATCAAGACAGGACTTCAACGGCGTTTGGTCTGCTGACTGGACACCTTGCTCAAGACAATGAGGACCAACAACTATGGGTGATTGCTGTGGCTCACCAACAGAGGAATTGGAAAGCATTTGGTCTGCTGACTGGACATCTTTCTCAAGACATAGAGGGTCACCAACTATGTGTGATTGCTGTGGCTCATCAAGAGAGGAATTGGAAAGCATTTGGTCTGCTGATGACTTGAAACCTTTCTCAAGACATTGAGGGCCACCCATGTTAACTATGTGTGATTGCTGTGGCTCATCAAAAGAGGAATTGGAAAGCATTTGGTCTGCTGACTGGACATCTCTCTCAAGACGATGACGACCCCCGACTATGTGTGATTTCTGTTGCTCATCAAGACAGGACTTCAACGGCGTTTGGTCTGCTGACTGGACATCTTTCTCAAGACATTGAGGGCCAACAACTATGTGTGATTGCTGTAGCTCACCAAGGGAGGAATTGGAAGGCATTTGGTCTGCTGACTGGACATCTTGCTCAAGACAATGAGGACCAACAACTATGTGTGATTGCTGTGGCTCACCAACAGAGGAATTGGAATGTATTTGGTCTGCTGACTGGACATCTTTCTCAAGATATAGAGGGTCACCAACTATGTGTGATTGCTGTGGCTCACCAAGAGAGGAATTGGAAGGCATTTGGTCTGCTGATGACTTGAAACCTTTCTCCAGACATTGAGGGCCACCAACGTTAACTATGTGTGATTGCTGTGGCTCATCAAGAGAGGAATTGGAAAGCATTTGGTCTGCTGACTGGCCATCTCTCTCAAGACGATGACGACCCCCGACTATGTGTGATTTCTGTTGCTCATCAAGACAGGACTTCAACGGCGTTTGGTCTGCTGACTGGACATCTTTCTCAAGACATTGAGGGCCAACAACTAGGTGTGATTGCTGTAGCTCACCAAGAGAGGAATTGGAAGGAATTTGGTCTGTTGACTGGACATCTTGCTCAAGACAATGAGGACCAACAACTATGTGTGATTGCTGTGGCTCACCAACAGAGGAATTGGAAGGCATTTGGTCTGCTGACTGGACATCTTGCTCAAGACAATGAGGACCAACAACTATGTGTGATTGCTGTAGCTCACCAAGGGAGGAATTGGAATGCATTTGGTCTGCTGACTGGACATCTTTCTCAAGACATTGAGGGTCACTGACTATCTGTGATTGCTGTGGCTCATCAAGAGAGGAATTGGAAAGCATTTGGTCTGCTGACTGGATATCTATCTCAAGACGATGACGACCCCTAACTGTGTGTGATTTCTGTGGCTCATCAAGAGAGGACTTCAAAGGAGTTTGGTCTGCTAACTGGACATCTTTCTCAAGATATTGAGGGCCACCAACTATGTGTGTTTGCTGTGGCTCACCAAGAGAGGAATTGGAAGGCATATGGTCTGCTGACTGGACATCTTGCTCAAGAGAATGAGGGCCACCAACTATGTGTGATTGCTGTGGCTGACCTAGAGAGGAATTGGAAGGCATATTGTCTGCTGACTGGACATCTTGCTCAAGACAATGAGGACCAACAACTATGTGTGATTGCTGTGGCTCATCAAGAGACTTGGAAGGCATTTGGTCTGCTGCCTGGACATCTTTCTTAAGACAATGTGGACCACCACAAACTATGTGTGATTGGTGTGGCTCAGCTATAGACAACTTGGAAGGCATTTGTGCTGCATGACCAGCACTGATGCGTGATTGCTGTGGCTCATCATGAAACGATGGTGAATACAACTGGCATGGACAGTCATTGTCGCTGTGATCTTGCTTCCATTTGGTCTAAAATTAGATACAAAGAACAAGTTATTATTAACGCCCCTACCCTCAAAAAAGTAAATCAGTAAATAAGCAAATAGAGCAAACGAGCAAACAGACGATGGAAGTGTTATAAGCATTTTTGACATAAATTTAAGTATTTTTAAATTGACAGAAAAGACATTGACTTTCTCAATTGTTTTGTTTGCTTTCAGTCCAACATGATTTTTGTTTCAACCACTAACTTGCCACTAGTGATTACAATCTGTTGAATTTTGTTACACAATATACATGCAGCAATTTCAGCTGATTTTATATATAAATTAATGTTTTATTTCTTTTTTTCCCATTTACTTTCATTATTGAAAAGACATTTTTTACCAACTCTACTAATGGCCAATTTGTTGCAGTCACAGTCGGGTTATTGGAAACTCAAGATTAGTTTTTGTCCAATACAATTTTCAAGAACATTTTGCAAGGTATGAAATAAAGCCATATGAGGACCATACAATTTTTTATTTATGGTCCTTGAAATGAAAAAAAAATCCATGTCATTCTCAAGATTTTTCCAGGCCACAGGGGCCCTGGGTATACATGGTTGCTTTATATACATGTATAGCTCTTTTTCTTACCTGTCGCCAGGGTAGATTGTCTATGCCATAATTGTATCGCAGCTCTGAGCCAACTTCCAAATCGAACAAGGCAAACAGACACAGGTGTGGTTCATCACAGCTTTTGAAAACTAGTTTCTTCATCACACAGTTGGGTGTGTCTTTCGCATCGTTGATCCACCGTGCCATACATGAAGTGGGACTCATTGCATCAATGCTGTAAAAAACAGTAGTGCAAATCATGATGTTCATAACAGTGTTTTAGCCAGGATTTGAGAAAGTGGGAGTGTAAAATTTAAAAGTGGGAGTGCAACGTTGGAGTCCAGATTTTTTGTGCACAACACGAAGTCTCACTGCCGCGATCCAGGGCCGCATAAAAAGCCTTAAAGAACATGGATACTATCATGGCTAATTAATTTGCTTTCTAATGGTAGCTGATGCATTCCCAATACCCGTTTTCCAAGTACATGTAGAAGTCAGCTTAGTAGTTTTGATTTTTTTTCTCTTTTTTTTAAACAGAAAATAAAACGTTTGACCAAAAATACAGGATGTGCAGTTGTCCGTTATTTAAGTGATTGCCAATAGTGATTACACATGTACCGGTAGCTGTAACAAATACGGTGGTCTTTACAAGTAACTGGATTTTTCCTTAAAATTCAAATGAGATTGATTATTTTTGAACTGGAAAAGTATGGACTAAAACTAAGTTTCAAATTAAGAAGCAAGGCCAAGGGAAATTTGCTTCCTTTTACATGCCTTTTTAAAAATAGGGTCAGTACATCTAAAAAAAAATTATCGTCATTTTGTGTGATGATTGTATGGTGGAACAGGAGCAAAGAATCATACATGTATGTGTTTTACTTTGGGTCTGGGTTAGTTCCATTAGCACCAGAAAGTTTTTCGAGAATGAACATCAAAAGAGCTTAAAATATAATTGCTCAATGTAAAATATATAAGGTAAAAGTTTTTGTTTTAATTATTAATGGAGCATTCAAGTCATCCGCACCATAGTCAATGTAAATACGCAAATAAAACCACTGGAACATAACACATTCTAACATTATAGGATATGTGAAATGTTTGAATATGTATTAGCGGTACACGTACACGAACTGTGAAATAGAGGACATGTACAGCAGGCATACAGTATTTAAAATGTGTCTTGTACATGCAATGCAATAGAGGACAAGTACAGCAGGCCCAATTATTAACAATTTTAGTATTTAAAATGTTTTGGAATGTGTCTTGTACATGCAATGCAATAGAGGACAAGTACAGCAGGCCCAATTATTAACAATTTTAGTATTTAAAATGTTTTGGAATGTGTCTTGTACATGGACTATGCAATAGAGGACATGTACAGCAGGCCCCATTTATTAACAATTTTAGTATTTAAAATGTTTTGGAATGTGTCTTGTACATGGACTATGCAATAGAGGACATGTACAGCAGGCCCCATTTATTAACAATTTTAGTATTTAAAATGTTTTGGAATGTGTCTTGTACATGGACTATGCAATAGAGGACATGTACAGCAGGCCCCATTTATTAACAATTTTAGTATTTAAAATGTTTTGGAATGTGTCTTGTACATGGACTATGCAATAGAGGACATGTACAGCAGGCCCAATTATTAACAATTTTAGTATTTAAAATGTTTTGGAATGTGTCTTGTACATGGACTATGCAATAGAGGACATGTACAGCAGGCCCCATTTATTAACAATTTTAGAATTTAAAATGTTTTGGATCTATGTTTTGCATTGCATCTATTGCGTAAAAATAAGCTCAGCTAGAGTAATTCAGACCGGATTACTGAAAATAAACAGCAAGAGAATTTTGTGTGCAAGCGTATATTTCATACTTCTTTAAAAGACAACTCCACAAAGAATATATTCATACATCGCTCTGACATTTTGTCCGAGTACATCTGCATTTGGTCGGACAAACCAAGAAAGTGGTCGGAAAATGTCCGATGTCCGACTGTAATTTCACGCACTGAATGTGCATTGTACATGGACTATGCAATAGAGGACATGTACAGCAGGCCCCATCAATTAACAATTTCAGTATTTAAAATGTTTTGGAATCAGTCCTTCATTTAAAGGAAATCCATTAGAGCTACATGTATAAATTGCTCCCCTCAAATCTTTGAGGAGAGCAAATCGCTCTCCTTAAAATTCACGGATAAACAGCGGTGAAACGACGGGTCAACATTGTTTTTAATATTTTGAATATCAGGATTTCTTCAGGGGGCTGCATTATAGTTTTTGCTTAATAACATGCTAAAGTGGCGTTACTTCTTTGGTTTTTGTAACTGTAAGAATTTATTTTTAAAAACTAACTAGGCCTAAATGGAGATTAATAAAAGGTTTTACTGCTTATGTTTTCATTTTTTTAAATACAGTTGTCAGTTGGTTCATCACTTAATTATACTTGGAAATGGAGTTAATAAACGGCACATAAAGCAACTGAATATTTGCTTTCAGATTTGTTAAAATTATATGAAAATTTTCAGCCTGAACTATTTCCATTGCACTACGAAAGCTATACAAAAAAGGGCCTCAAAATGACAAAAACTTGCCTTAAGTATTATCGAAAATAATTGTGCCGTTGATAATCTCAAAAATAATGGAAAATGCAGGTCAAGTATGCCATATGCACAATGTTATAGTCACGACGAGAATCCAGCAAACAACGTCTAAACTTCGCACTACGAGCTTTTGTGATGCACTGTGGTGGGCCGGCAATGAGCCTTGTTTTACGGTATAGGATTTTAGTAAAACACGCTGCATCGTTTCACTTTATACATGTATGCATACCAGTAGTACTTCCTCGAAATAAATTCATGAACACGGGAAATAAGAGAGATCAAGTTCTGTGAATAAACTTGCAAAGATCGTCTTTCTAAATCGATGTTTTCTTGGCATTTTTACGATGTCTATTCCGTCCGGCTGGCCTGCATGCAAAACACTGATACTGCAAAAAGTACATACAGCAGTGCGCATTGCACCGTGCGCGATTATTGCATTGACTGATTACCACATTTCCATTACGCCTTCTTTGGGCCTTAGTGTGCAGCGCAGCGGGAACCAGTCATTGCTGCACTCTCTCGTATGTACGGGTCCACGTGTTTTCATGCAGCTCTATGCGATATGCAGATTGTGTACGTACAGTATACAGCTGCTGTACACGCACGATCTTTCTGGTACGTACGAGCTCGGTGTTCGTTCATTTTTAGCAAAATCCGGCGGAATAACGTGAGTTTGGGCATTATACCAATGAATAATACGTGTAGCTTCAGACTTAAAATAAAAATTTCAATGAAAACATTCTGAAATTTTTAGGGTCAAAATATTAGTTAAAACACCTCTAAATTTTTCAAATCTATCAAAATGTTTAACATCATAAGAATCCTTATAAAATAAACAATATTTTAAATTTTGAATCAGCTTATTATCACTGTTACAAAAAAGTTATAATTGTTCCCTCGTAACACTAACACCGCGCCGCACGATTGTCCGACATGTCTGACTCTGGGTTCACACCGCAATGCGACCACACAGCCCGCCATAACACACGGGTAAAAAATTCAGTTCCATTCACGGTACACACAATGCAGCAACACGAAACATGCACGTGTACGCGTAATCGCCGTTGCGACATGCGGATAAAATCGGCTGCCGGAACGGGCCGGCATTATTTTTGACAAAAAATCAACTTTCGTGTTCTCCTAAAAGTCCAAGCTTCCGAATAAACTCCATTTCATAGACTTTCTACGCATGTATTTTGAGGATTTTTGATTGGAAAACCGTTACATGGTACCGTTTTGTAGCCTTCGGAAAACAAAAAAATTGCATTCACCGATTGCTCGGCAGGCTGAGGAGGGTACCAGGTCATACATAATGTACGCACGCGTGCTGTGCAACCAAGATTGTCGCACCACGTGCCCAATTGCACATGAGGAACTCACTGCGAATCAGCCGGAACGCGCCCAGCATTCTGGGACTATCTGCCTTGTTAAGCATGGAGGATCTGCGCATTAGGATTGTGCAATGTATCCATAAATGGGATTATTTTCACTTCGTCACTCAGTCGAAAATCTTGAGTCGACATGCACCCAGACTCGACTAGTTATATACACACGGACGTTGAAAAGGCTCCATACTAGCTCGAGAATTGGACGTGTATCGTCTTCGTTCACGGTACAAATGACGATCTCAAAGAACACTAACAATTAGTCCGGAGAATACGAAGGTGAAATACCAAGACACACACATAAAGTGCACAGATTTGCCTATAATTTTTTTTTTTATTCCTTTTTCGTACCCGTCAGGCGGCGATATTGGCCAAAAAAACCCGAGGCGGCCTCAAAAAGTCGTGAGGCAGGCCGCCTCGTGACGATTGAATGGGCAGGGGAAACGCTGGATCAGCGTAAGAAATATTTGGATTGGCTGATTTGTATGACGTACATGTCTTGTATAAGGCTTTAGACCAATAAGTGTACTTCATACTCGACTGCAGTACGTGCGACGCCCAGACTGTCTGTGCAGATTCTGTCGCCCTCTGGCACGTGGCTCCGCCACTCGCATAGTCGCACCACAGGTGTTTTTTGTTTTTCTCGTAAGCAACCAGGTTGCGTCACGCGTCGGGTAGCCACGCGCGCTATTACGTGAAACTCCCATTTGCCAAAACCCCTGAACTACCTACCGATTTCACTGTGACTCTTATCAGCTGTTATCAGTAAAGTAATTATAAGATAAACACTTACCCTGGCACCCACTTCCCCAGGGCCAGTGACCATGAGCTGGTGGTGTCAAATAACGGAAACCTTGAAGAGCATGGCTGAAGTCGCGGACTGTTTCTTATTTGATATCTCGAGATATATTTGATCGATTTTTATGATTCAAAGTTGCTCACATAATAACTTTTCACACTTTTCCAAATACTTTACATTATAAACAAGAACCTAGTAGACTTTGGTAGATATTTTTTGTCAGTAAGCTCACAGGCAGAGGCACCATACACCACCTGTTCACGGCTCGTTAACTCTTGATCAGATAAGAGAGATCGCGTTGAAAGCTGCTGATTCTGAAATCGGTAGGTACGACCCGAGTTTGTCATAGGCAAACTCGGGTCTAGCTCAAATGGGAGATTCACGTAATGCGCCTTGACTAAAGGCTAACCGTGCACAGGCAGAGATTGAAAGAAAAGACG